ACTGTTCATATTCCCTTTGAGCTTCTGTTTCGACGGTAAATTTCCGGTGCACAACAGAGTACAAGTGTTGTTGTGCTGCACAAATTGACGATATGCACTAATGAGTGAGCGCAAAAACTCCAGATGCTGAGAGTACAGCATCCGCCACTGACTCAGAAATGTCGCTATCATTGACTATGCTAAAATGCGCCATTACCCTCTTGCGCCATGTACTGACTGTTTTGCCATTTGAAGTGGTCGTGCGGCTGAACAATAGTGCGCATCGTGGGGTAAACACAAGCATGCGTTTTTCAATTTCCACACACCTGTACCCTCCCGCTCTCCTGTAACGTCTTCTTCTTCCCACTGCCCTTCTCAATCTCTTTTCACAGTCCCCATCTTCCTCTTCCGTTGACCAGCCTGTCCGCCCCTTCCTTACTTCTGCCTACGGCCAATTCTGATTTCCTATCTCGTTTCGGTGTGTCGTTCTTCGTACTTTCTTCCACACCGTGTTTTACTCTCCAATGTCCGAGGACTTCAGTGCAAGTCTTAAATGACTGCCGGGCATACACAAACTGAAAAACATGGGCAACTAAAGAAGCATTTACACATATTCGCAGGGTCTTGGCAGTACGCATTCCCACGCCCGCATATAATGCATAAAACATCTAGCGTGCTACAGCATAGGTTTTTTCCTTCAAACGAAAAAACTTATCAGTGACGCAGCAAAATAGACGAAACACATTTGGCATCTTTTTCTCAAGCAGTACATGCAGTAACAAATAAGGGGATCAGGAATAAGTCTAAGTGTCAGGTGCAAGAAGACATATTTGGATGCAGTCTTAGCTGTAAACACAGGCCGGACGTAGCATGCGGGTAGGAGTGGGAATCTTCAGTACAGTCTCCTATCCGCCATTTAAATGAAATCATGTAAGAATGAGTAAAGAGAAAATGAGTGAGAAGACCAGAAAACGATTTGAAGATAAAGGAGAAAAAGGACCAATTAGTAGTTTTTCGAGATTTATTCAGAAAGATAACATTTATTGATTATGTGAGTTAATAGATACAAAAGTATTTTCCAATCTGCTCTTTCAAAAAATTGCCGGGATGTATCCCTTTGCTTATTTTTGCACATAATACCTCATTTTTTCGAATAAGATGTCGGCTATACCAGCACTGAATGACTAGTGCAAATATGACACTATGGGGACAGAATTAAAGCATATTTCCTTAATATTCGAAATTATATGATTAACCAGACATTTGATTCGGCCATTTCGAACGAGTAATTTAGCCATTTTATTCAATCCTAACAAGCGCTCCTCCGTCATAGTTTTACATTCAACTGTAAATAGATTTGTATGTAAGTCCATTAGCCGGAAACTAGTTAGCTTGCTAAATGATTTAATTGAAGTATTAATTTTCTTAGTTGAAAGCGGTACACACGTTGGAAACATCATTGGTATGCAGATTGTTGAGGGCGGACGAAAAAATGAAACCGAGCTAGAAAGGAAACGTGAAGATGAAGAACGAAATGAGGATACATTTGGTTCGTATCTATAGCGTTACATAAATCCGTAGATGAAAATTAGGCAAGCGTGTAGTTTGTGATAATTGCGTGTCCTGGCGCTAAGAGTGCTCTTGTATCGTATTACTGTGCATTAGGCTTTTTCGAGCCTTCATAAAATTTGCTCAAAAGACAAATATCTAAACAAGGCTGCTATAGTTCAGCTAAATTAGCGTGGAAATTCCCTTTCAAATACTTTATCATTTGTTCATTATAGGCAAAACGGACTGTCGAACACAAAGAGAGCGAGCAATGAGGAAGCTGGAAAATAATCCTGAAAACGGAAATTACATACCAACCTGTACGGGCGAGAATGACATGTAAGCGCTGCTATAATGTAAATAAATAATACAATCGAGTCGAGGGAAGGAGGTGGAAGTGAGACTGTCGCTCTGCTTCACGACCCCAAAATCATT